ACGCCAGCTGCGGATTGAAAGAGAGTGAAATGAGCTCCTGTACCAGTGTTTGGGAGGCCTTATAATATTGAACCTTCAAAATCTCCTCTTCCCAAGCCGATCTGGCCCATATCAGGTTCATCATTCCTTCAATGAGAATGCTCCTCCAAGACGTATGCGATGGCGCCATCGAGCTTCGTGATCATCTATCCCGAGGACTGATGGAAGCTGGCAACAGGAGCTCACTATGCACGCATGCTCTTGTAGCAAATGACAGGGTCCTCCGGGCCAGGCACGTGGCGCTTTTTCACGATATCGTCAGAGGACCAGTAGCATTGTCTCGAACGCACTGGTTGACGACGGAGTGGAGTGCTCAGGGTGCATGCACGATTGTTCTTGAAAGCTTGAAGCTCGAGGGAGAACTACTCTGTATGTACCGATATCGCAACAAATCTCATCAAAAAAGCACCGCTGGTAGGACTGGCACTGAAAGGCTGGTATTTAATCTATGAGCGCATGCGATTGAAAGTTCATGATTTGTGAGAAGTATAGATTATGCATATCAATGTACATGTTGCACTAGACTCGTGAACCGTTCACAATCTATAGCCACACACCGTTCTGCACACTAGGCAGGATCATCCCAATAAAATTTCCGCAAACGAGCTCTGGAAAGCTCACAACGAAATGAACAGCTTCTGCACACGTTCTTGGCAGCTATATCAAATGAGGTGCTGAGCAAATTGGTTTGAGCCGCGCAGATATATAGATCCTGAGAGCTTCGCAGAGGCCTTGATAGCGAGATGCCCATAGTGGATAGGGGCTGCAACGTTGTTGGATTGTCCAGGAAGCTTGAAGCTTGAAGGACGGCTCGAGATGGCGGCCGAGGCCAACGTTGACAACGTTTCGTTTTAACATGAACCAAACATGCGCAAACCAACTGTCACAGTGAGTCTAATAATAGACTCAATCTTGGACGACTCCATTTCAAATCATCCCTTTGAGCATATGCTCTTGCAGGACGTACATGTATGTATTGCTATTTTATGTGTCTGAGTGTCGAGTGGAATTGGTAGATTGAATGGTGTGTCCATATCTTGGTTCCTTAAATACTGATGCGCTTGCTAAAAAAGCTGTTCATCTGTTACGCGGAGACGTCTCAGGTGAGTATATGCGCTCATTCCCTTGCAGGAATGTTGTACTCCTACGCATATATCCTCGTCTTTGAATATGTGAAAAGCTATGATGGTGTTAATCCTTCCAATTTTGCAGTCATTAAGCACAACATTTCATCGAACTGATTCACCCACTCGCAACAGCATCTTTGCCCTCCACTGACAGTCAACCTCAACAACCAACTGCTCACGCACTTGGCTATTATCCAGTTTATTCAAGATTTCTGCACCACTCCCCTCTCCAATCACATCTCCTTCTTCAGTATGCTGCACATTCTCTGCACGATCCCCTTCCCGACATATCATCTCCCCCACCGCCTCTCTGATGTTCTAGCAGCAGTCAACAACAACCGACACTTCAAACTGTCAAACCCCATGAACACATCAACAACATATTACAATGAACTCGAGACATGTTGAACGCAGATGAGGCTGGAACGTGGTCTTGGAGGCTCGTCGATGGTTTGTATGCGTATTCTCTCCCTTTCAGTCACTCTCACACAAAGCGTCTCTGTGTCTCGACGCTTCGTGTACACTCGTTATTGCACAAATCGTATTGTACCAGGAGCTCAACGTTGCAACACTCGGTCAAAACTACTACATGGTTCTATGTTTTGCAAATTTGTTGCAAATTGACGTTATATTCAGCGAAACAGGCCAGTGGCCAAATGCGTTCTGAACATAGGCAAGATGCCTAAGCCCCGTTGTACCGGGTCAGAGATACTCATCACGATCGATAGGGCATGGACTCAGATAGATGGTGGACGGTCTTGCCGAATGTCGTGCAGATCTTGCAGAGGTTATATATTTGATTATGAATTAACAAGGGATGCAACAGAAGGTAGTTGACAGACGGTTGAACCTTGGCGAGTTAAACGTTAACAAAAACATCATTGGCCAGCAGCGGATAAATATCAACAAGATGAATTGTAACGTTGAGAAGTTTTGAAATACGTGTTCTTCGGGCCAAGAGTCCATGTCACAACTCGTGCAGATTGCGGGGCCGGAAGCGCATGCACTGGGGTAGGGACAGCCGTTCCTGCAGAGAAAATAGGCTGTCATGTTCGTGTGAGGCTCTGCATTACGAGAAATGGCTCAAAATTTTTCTTGTCTAACAGATGCATAAGAAGCCTCTAATGTTATATCGGAGGGTCGTCAATTTTAATTAGTACTAAAGTCGAGGATCGTTGGTGGCATAACATTCCATAACCCGAGCACAAGTTTTGTGGACGTCAGAGGTATGAACACGGACGTTGGCGCTCAGCGCTGCCGAGAGCCAGCGTTCCTACATGCACTGGCAGTTCAACGGGTCTCTTAATCACGACTTGTATAAGAATATTGAACTGGCTAGCGTCGATGACTTGATCATGATTTACAATGTATCGTATTTCTCGTATGCCCCAGTCATTCAACACACTGGGTTGGCCAACTCCGATGCTACACAATGGGGACGAAGTGCTAGTTATTTGTCAAGCAATGTCTTTTGAGAGCAACATCGTATTACATATGTGTCTTCAAATAGCTAGTACATGGATGCTATCTACTCCAACAAAAAGATTTGGAACAGAGAGGCCGCTCAACTGGTGCGCGGAGCCGCAGGACTTATCGGTGGAGTTAAGGAAAGACATGGGAAACACCTTGTAAGAACTGCAAAGCAGTTAATGCCTGGAACATGTTCAATGTCCAACGGAGAAGGGTGGTTAGTTGTAGCAGAAGCGTTGGCATGTCCAGTCTGTAACGTTGCTGGCGCAGTTTCATTCACCACATTGGATGTCCCTGTTGGTGGCGTGCTGCTGCTTGAGGCACCAGCGTGACCTTGCCAGTTGCGAGGAGGACGTTGTGCCTTCAACAACCTATCCCTTTTTCCACTGTGGGGGTTAGCGGTGCGCTGCGAGACAACATCAATGTCACTACATGGATGTCGAAAAGTCAGCAAGCTTACATATTTGCCTCGTGTTGTAGAGACGTCCACAAGGGGAACCCCAAGTGGGCGAGGAGTTTGATCCTGGGAAGCGGAGGAGCGAGAAAATATACGATCTATCATGTGTTTGATTTTGGAACCTTTGGCGTTGCGCATAGTGCCGGCGCGATTGTTGCGTTCAGTTGGATCAAACTGTCAAAGCCTGGATGGTGAGACGTGCATCAAATCTACGGTATCATATGGACTTACATCATCGAAGAATTTACTAGTCACTATTGTAGCGCGTTTTGGGCGAGGCCGTGGGTCTGGGATGGTTTTCTGCAGGACTGAAATTAGGGATCGTACAAAACAACGAGCGTGAAAGCGGCGTACTTTGAGAATTTTCTGAGTGGACTATATGTCAGGTCAACGGGCGTGAAGCATGATACGACGAGATAATTTGCTCACCTGTTGAAGCTCCTTCTCTGACTCGCTCAGAGGAACTGTCCATGTGCGAGCATGGTTGTCAACACAGCCAGTCGCGATGAGTTTGCTGTCCTCGGAAAATGCCACGCAAAAGACTTGATCAGGGTGCTCGAGTGGCTCGCCAATGGGTTCGAAAGTGGCCAGGTCAAAGAACCGCGTCGTCTTGTCGCGTGACGTGGTGACGAATTTGGTGTCATTGGGAGCAACGGCTAGTGATAAAAAGGGTTCGGTGTGCGCGTCAAACTGTTTGATGATGTCTCCGGTGGTAACATCTGATATTCGTATGTCTTTCCAGTTTCCACTAACAAGACGGAGACCATCTGGAGTGAATGCGACTTTGTATGCCCGCTGTTCTATTTTCAGTAACACTTCTCCACTTGCTGAATTCCAAATGATGATGTGCTTATGTGTGCCTGCTGCTAGTTTTGTCCCATCCGGGGAGTACGACACCGAGTATGCACCTGGACCACTGCCCACTTTGAGTGGTCCGAGGACTATTTTTCCCGTCTCCCTCTTCCACACGCATACCGTTTCGTCCATTGATGCACTTGCAAATGTCTTGTTGTCCGGTGCAAATACAACATCCCAAACCAGATTCTCGTGGCCCTTAAACGAGACGGGCACTCTTTTGAGCTCTCTCTTGTTTGTCGCAACTTCCCAGACCAGGATGCTTCCATTCCATCCTCCACTCGCTATCCAACGTCCATCAGGGGACGCCGACACCGCGCAGACTTCGTGATCGTGTTCCAACAAGGGCTCTCCCACTTGTTTCCCCGTGTCCAGATCCCACACTCGAAGACTGTGGTCGGCCGAGCCAGTGACGAGGAGACGGGTACCGAGGATGAAAGCTACTTTGTACACATGCGCCCCATGACCCTTGAGTGTCAGTTCAACAGGCTGGGCGGGCGCTTTTGTGGATGCTTTGTGGGTGGTGACCGCCATTCAATCTTGTTCGGTATCTCGGTCAGCAGGAATATTGAGTGAGCAGCAATCACTTACATGCGCTATCGTAGTCGTTAAGTTGCATCTTCTGTAAGATACTGACTATCCCTGAACCCTGATGTCAGCTTTGCTGTAGACACGTGGTGTCCTGCATACGGATCATCTTCAGCAAATCTTCAGCGCTTCTTCCAGAAGTTTTCTTCAATAGGCGCCGTGGCCGCTTTTACTGTGTTCCAACCTGTTGTAACTGATACAATTTCCCGGCCACGTCCGAGTCAGTCGACACGGGATATCTTCTCTCATTCATCTTGTACTGAAAAGTGAAAACATGAATGTAACGAATTAATCGCTTGATACTGGTTGGATAGCACCTCCAAGTCAGGCTGAGGGAGAATGAGGTTCTCGTTCCTGCCAGCATCATCGTGTCTTGAAAATAGCAACTTGGCTGCATTGCATACTCTCCTGGCGACTGCTGCACCGCAAGGCAATCCATTCCGCGATTACAAGTTTGGCCGCTACGCGGACACGGAGCGAGAAATGCTGACTGGCCCATATACGCGCAGGATTAAGCGTATAAACTGCTAACAAAGTGGTATCGATATAGCGTGGGCGTCGAAGGACTGTTGCAGTATCTCCAGATGGGCGGTGGATCATGAGTGGAGCGTCCAAACGGAAGCATCCCTTCTGAACAGATAATACCAACTGCAGATCGAAGAAGGTGAAACAAGCTCCTGCGGGTAGGTGTACCAGCGTTTGGGAGGTCTTTGCAGCTGATAAGGACTGCGTGGTACATCGACTGGAGTCTATTATCATTAGACTCCCGCTGGGCCAGTCCACTTGAACGTTCAAAATTTTCAAATATCGAAGGACCCAATTGTTGAACTTTCAAACTCTCCTCTTCCCAAGCCGGTCTGGCCCTTATTATTTCCATCAAATATGCTTTTAATCATTGTCCTAGATCAAGGATCGTCATTCTTTCAATGAGCATGGTCCTCCGGGACGTATGTGATGGTGTCATCGAGCTTCGCGATCATCTGTACGATCTGGAGAATGTGATAGAAGCTGGTAATACGAGCTCACCATGTACCCATGTTCTTGCAGCAAAATTGGGGGAAGGGGTCCTCCGGGTCAGCCAGTAACATTGACAGTGATGCATGCACGTGTCATTCTCGTACAGGTAGAAATGCAGCACAGTGAGTAATCACAACCACCACCAAAGGAGGGCGGTGCTGCAGATAGGAAAAGATCAAGGCAGCGCTCAGCCGGAGCAGGGATGTCACGGTTTTATATTTAGGACGATTTATTGCGATCCAAACGATGTTGTGTTCATCGGTACCTGTTGTTAGTTTTCTCCCGTACGATACCTATAATACCTCCGAGTCCGAGTCATTCCCCACTTGGAGTGGTCCGAGGGTTATCTTGCCCATCTCCCTCTCCGATACTACAGTGTCACATGTTGCGTTCCCAGGCTGTCGTCGACTTCGTGAATATCGACTTTCAGGTTATGCTTTTCACCTCCCTGAATTTTAATCACGATTGTGTATCCTCGTTGATGAAGCGCTCAGGTTCGCGTCCAGTTCTCCTTTCGCGGACCCTATTACAGAGAACAGAAGCGCGATGAAACAACTACAGCTTGCTATGTCGCAAAACAAGGAAGCGAGAACTGCCGGGGTATAACAGACTAAAAGACTCCTTCGACGGGGATCATCCATCATTCTTTTGTTTTGTTGTTCCCCAGGTCATAGCCAGACGTGCTGGGTATCTGAACACATGACTCTTGCCCCATCATCGCAGATATCCCTCCTCAACCTGAATTTGAACGTTGCAGCTGGTTACGCCGAGCCAAACCTTGGTCAGCTTTATCTCCTTCTCAACTTCAACGTTGCAGCTGGTGATGCAAAGCCAGCTAGCTTTATCTCCTCTTTTCCTATCAAGTTCTGATTAATGAGGTTCATATAAGCAACCTTCTACTACGAAGAATAACCCTAGAGATTGCTTTTTGTCGGTAGGGCGTTAATCCCTGACCCATTAACCGCATATGTATTATAGCGCTCGTCGCTACTACATAGCTGTACGAGATTCCCTGCAATGGTCGGGTCTCACGCTAAAAATATTCCAGAGATCAGAAGATTGATAAGCTACAGCTTGTGACGCAAACCAAGAAGCTGTACAGCATATACAGCCTGTTATCTGGGGCATATAAAAGCCCTCCTTCCTGGACCTCTACTAACTGCAGGACTCGACGTTCTTTAATCCATACTTACTCTCAACTGCATTTTGTGCTTTAGAATCACTTTAGAATCTACCATGTCGACACCTTCGGGGACCATCGTTAGGAACTTGACATTTAAGTCGTGAGCGTCTTTGAGTTATAGCGCTGTTTCATCCTGACCGTCTTGCAGCGACGATTTCGGCCGGGAAACAACAATTTTGCTCGTTTTTGATACCGACATGGAGGGCCTCTACGACACAATCTACCCTGTGGTTTGGAAGTAAGCACCCCCGCTTTCACTCTCGAGGAATACAAGACTTTCGATGTTTTCAGAACCTTTACTTTCCCAGCGAGAGGTAGGTCCCTCGCGTCCAATTCCCACTTCAATTATGAACTTTCGTCTTAGGCTCGCGCAGCTATAATGTGACCTACTCGGACGAGTAAGTATTGTCCGAGAAATATCCAATATCATGCTCACGAACGTCGCTTTTATTCGACGTATAGCCTTGCTTTTTCCAAAGCAAACATCGGACATGATAACCTCGTTCAAACTTCTAGTTCCCTCAAGCTGAAGGTGGGAGACTACATCTACTCTGCGGTTCCCACCACAAACACAAGCCATCATGCAGCCAGGCCAAAAAACCACACTGTCCCTGAAAGATAAAAGAACACGTTTCTCTGTATGAATAGCATTCATCTGCCTTCATCTCTGCAGTTTACTAACAACCTGTGTAGCCACCTGTGAACTTTGCTACCGGAGATCACCTGACGGCAGAGAACGAGACTGGGTTTATTCAGGACCTTGCAGTCGGTTTGTAACCCCAGTTTCTTTTCTTTTTCTTACCTCATTGGAATCATAAGGCTTTTATGACCCATCAAAACCCGTCATATATGACCTATCAAGAGCCGTCATAATTGCCAGTGGGCCTGATCCGATGCTCTTCTTCAAAGAAGTTGGGTGTGTCAACTCCCCTTCATTCTCCCTCCAGGAAACTCACAGTTCATACTGCAGGAACGGAAGTAAGGCCACTGCTTGATGGAAACCGGTCCTGCGCATCTACGTCGAATCGAACTATAAAGAGACCGAGGTCTTGGTCGGTGCCATTAAAAGCACTGCCATCTTGGAGCAGGATCTTCACCAGCTTTTTCGGAACACGGTCTTCAACCTCGAACGGAACATACTGACTGGACGTTGCAAACTCACGAAGACTAAACCGTAAGTAAGTCGCACTGCCGCTGGCATATAACCGTTACACCAAAAGGTAATATACTGAAAGCTTACCTTTCAGTACTACCGGCGACTCGGAGTCTAGGGCACAGTGCGCAAACCAACGAAGGAATGCCAAATTGATGTGCATGGTGACTGTTGTTAATGCCTTGTTCTCTGTTTTCGCCGCCGCCCCGACGGCCCCGTTCAGAGTCCCAGTTGCTTGTCTTGTATAACCTTCCATCTCGTGTAGTCACCGTTATACCATATTGGGTCGACTGATCATCAAAACGATTGTCCTGATCCCGCTCATCGTAAGATGAGTAGCGACTTGAAGCAAAGACCTCTTCAAGTCGCAGCTCGTCTTATCGTGATAGAGGCCCTGACAGAGTTTGAGTGACCTGACATAATTGGGATGGAATACAAGGGTATGAGTATTACACCAAGTGCTAGCGGATATAAGTATGCTAAGCCAACGCTATAACCGTCCCATTCATTTTGTCGACAGAAACGACACTTAATTATGATAAGTTACAGTGAACCGATGACGATGAAAAAGAAACTGCAATATAAAGAATGCGCTATTAAATTCACAAATCTCATGCTGAACTATTCACATCTTCATCGACGTCCCCCTCTTCGCTACCGAAGTCGCCCCCTCACTTAACCGCTGGGGATGCGATGAAGGAGGCGCAGAGTGCGATACGTGATCTAGTTGCTGGTCTTCGTCTAACGATACCTGGCGAGCTTGCGTGAAAAAGACTTTCGCATCTCGATCGGAGATGTTCTCGATGTAGTAGGTGTTGCCTGAATGTGGTTGCGGTTTATATTATTTGTGAGACCAGCGGACGGGGCGTGAGGAATGGGACTGACCACGCGGCACAATGAACATGCCCCCTGTAGCTACAACATATTGTGATTCATGAATCACAGCGGCTACGGCGCCTTCAATGACGTAGAAAACCTGCGTAAAATAAGGTGAATAGATTGAAATGCGCAGTGTAGTGACGAATGCGAACATAAGTATTATCTTTTGTGCCTTTGCTTGGTTTGCGGCCCTGCGGGGGTATACGAAGGACGCCTGCCGCAATGAAGTCGCCCTCCCCGAAGACCTTTTGAAAGAACCACCCGCCGCCAGCTGCAGGTCTCGGATCGACCTTTTTTGCTGTGTAGACAATACCTGAAACAACGATAGTCAATATAAGACTATAAAGTGACGATAGGAGAAGCTACGTACGTCTTAACACAGGCTCCTCGGTGGCATAGTCAATGACCACACCGGATTCCTGTGTTTCGTCGTCCCAGCCTTCCTCGGGGTCAAATGGCTCAGGTATACTCTTCGCACGTTCACTGCCTGTGCGCTTGCGCTTCTTTCCTGCCTTCCCGAGTGGTTTAGGAGGCTCTTGCGGGATGCGTATGATTTCTTTAATTTGAGGAACGAGAATCAGACCAGAAGTATCACCACCATAGACGACTTTTTCTTGGCGCCAGTATTCAAGAGGCTTGTACCGATGCCGCCGACTGCGACGTACCCCATCAGGTAGTGGAGAATCTAAGGTGGATGAATTTCTTGTTCATGGTGTAAGAGGTGACTTACTTTCTTCGACTGATTTGATGACTCGTTTGGGTGCACGCGCTGCTTTTGGTTTCTTCGGTTGCTGCTCTTTCGGTTTTTCTTTGCGTGGCTTCTTAGGGGGTGGGTCTTCATCTTCTTCCTCATCTGGCGCATTCTCAACTTCTTCGAGTCCCTGGGCAATATCCTCATCGATCTCGTTTTCCTCCTGTTGCCCCAGCTCTATATCTGCGCGCCCCTTGCCCTTGCCCTTGTCAGCCTTCTTCGCCTGTGATGCTATCTGTTTTTCGACTTCTGCAGCGTCATCCTCATCATCCTCGTCCGCATTCACATAATCAAAACTTGTTCCTGTTTGCGGCGGGCTGTCGTCGTTCGGTAGGGGATCATAGTCAAAGTCTTGATTTGCTGGCTCGAATTCGGGGTCGGGAGCAGGGTCAGGCTCACGAGGGTCGTTGTATACGGAGAACGACTTTGAGAGTACTGAAGGTCCTGCACCATTCACAGTAGATTCACGCCTAGACGGTGCAGTGCGCATACGGGGCGAAGGTACTTCGTCAAAGTCGATCTCAGACGTTCGCGGGACGGACCGCGACGAGCCTGGTTTGCGCGCACTGTTAGGCGCCATTATGGAAGGCGCATTGGTAAGGTAAGCCAGCGGACTGCCCTGGTTGCCTGTGGAAAATTATGGGGATAAACGCGTCGGATCCTACTTGCGGTCAAAGTCACTCACTTTCTGCCAACTCCATGGACATCTCCCCATCCTCGTCGTATTCGTCGACTTCTGGAACGGGAGTAGCGACGACTGGGGCCTTCTTCTTGCGTGATTTAACTCGGGGCGGTGTGCGATCGTCAGCTTGCTTGATGACCTCGTCGAATGGCTCGAATTCATCAGAGTCACGGCCGACGTATTGGACTGCAATTCCGGTTTTCTTTCCGAGGCCAAGATCGTCGGCGCGGAATGGAATATGTTTCTTTGGGGGGCCGCGGCGACTACCTATGCTTGATTTTCTGCGGTCTGTAGATTCGCGTGGCATCGTTGGTGACGGCGAGCACCTAAGCTGGAGGAGTAAGTGCCGTGGGAAACTTAAACAAGACACGCTTGTCGCGGTTAATGGGTCACGGCATGTCACGCGCACACCACGCGTTTGTGTCACTTCGCGAGCCACAAAAGGTGTGGCACAAGGTGGATTCAAAGAGTGTCAATGTGATTAAAAAACTATACTATGATTTTTCTAAATCCCCATTCCCGTTCGTATCAGGACCCTTCTTTCTAAGGATCTCCTGCAAAAAGTCTAGTGTCGTCTCACTAGGATTGCGTGGTGGTGGTTGCGTCGACTTGCGCACGATATTATCGAACCTCGCTGCGCGCTTAGGGTGTGGGGTGTGATTGGCGAAAGACTGCAGAGGTTCAGCCGTGATGTACTCCAGTGAGCCAGGTCTATGTGTGTTGCTTTGGGAGTGACTCTGCGCGTCATTTGCAAATGCTGTCATTGAGAGCTTCGCCGCTTTCAACCCTTGCCTCTTGTGTACCACTTCTGGAGCCTTCTCCAACACTACAGACTCAGGCCTGAGGTTCGTCACACCAGTTTTGCTTGGATCGCCCCACGTCATCACGTTGCCCACTCCTTTGTTCTTCTGCTGTACGAGGGTGCCCATACCAGCGTATGATGCCACGAAATATATGGGCTTTCCTTTGTCGCCCTTTACCTCTTCAACCAATCGTCCTTTGTGCTCCTTCGTAGAGAGATATGTTTGAAGTGGTGGGAAATGAGAGTAATGGAGACCTGCAGAGCGATGTGGTACGCTTTCGAGTGAACGTGATCGAGGATGCTCTCGTACTCCTTCAGACTCCCACATAGCGAAGTCATCAAGGGAATAATCCGTTGGAAGTTTTTCGGGAGGGGCTTTTTTCGCCTTAGACAATCCTTTGGGTGTAGACGGTTCCTTGGACGAGTCTGCCTTCATCAGATTTAACGCCTCTTCCTCCCTCTCTTTCATCTCCCTCTGCTTCTTTAATGCTTCCGCCTTCATCTTCTGATATTCAAAGAAGTGCTCGCGTTTGCGACGGATATGCGCAACATATTTCTTGAATTCCGAGTTGGACATAGCATGGACATTGGGGACAGCAGGCGAGCACCAACATTGTGGGTCCATCCGCATTGGCGCATACTCCGAGTCCACCATATCACCAGAATCCTCGCTCGACGGCCGACGCAACTCTTCCGACCTGGGGTTTAATTGCAACTCATCCCAGTTCTTCATCCACATGGCCTGAGGCTCTGCAGAGTTCCATTCTGTCTGCTGTTCAAGTGAGTCCACAGCCTTCACTGTGATGTAAGCTCCACGTCTACGTATCGGGAGCGGACGTTTGAAGCCCCAGTTGCCGCGGTGAGCATCACCACCGTGTGTGGTGTAGACTTGAGCGATGCGAGGGTCAAAGGAGGAGAATTTTGACCGTTTGAGAAGAGTAGCGAAAGGAGATTGTACAACGGAAGCCATGCCTAGACGTCCTCGTCAAGCAACAAGTCCAATTTTCTGTGATGCCCGATACCTTGCCAAATTGGGACGACTTTGTAAGTCCGCTCGGTATTCGCCGTGCTATTCAAAACCTTCCTTGTTCGCTCTACTTTTTTTTTCAACAAAACCACGACGTCCAAATTACTGTTTATCCTCTGCTTTACGCAACTTTCAAGGATGGATAGTCCAGACAAACGTCGAGGATTAATCTGTTGTCTCAAAAACAATCTTTGCTGAATGTTCCTCCCACTGGTCGAGGGATGAGGACGCAGGATCACCTGGAGATGCCTACAGCTTTTTTTCGTACTGATGTTTGTAGATGGGTACCGTGCAATTACAATATTGTAAGTCGTGCATATTCTTATCGTTTGAGCTGTGATGGGTACCGATGCATGCCGAAGAAGATCATCCTGGTAAAAACACACAACCCGCTCGAATGGGTCCCTTGAAGTGCGAGGGTGTCTGATGCGGTTTTTGTCAAAGAGCCGCACAGACAGATGGGTGTGGATGGAGAAATAAAGGCGAGGCTGAGGTATCGCATTGGTGCCCATCCTGTGACTCGATCAGGAGCTGTGATGATGGGCTGATGACAGTTTCACAGATTGCATAGCTTGGTAGGTTACACTTAGCGCCATGAGCCGGATAGTCTGTAGTTCCCATGATTATGTCAAAATGTTGCTCCGTATGTAGCCTAGAATGAGTTTAGAATCATAATATATGAAGTTGATCATAGAACCATTTTGTTGATCAAGTGACTTATTACATAGCCGATGTTGGTGAATGTCGTGATTTTTTATGGATACACCTTTTTTGTGTGTGCGCCTCCATCATCCTCAAAGTTTTTCCTACACTGCCCCAGTGCTTAAGAGCACTGACTTTGTTGAAGACTAATACATCCTTGCTCTCTTGGCGACTTGGTTTTAATTGGGTGGCCACAGATTTTGACTCTCTATTTAACTGCCACGGTCGAATCGGACGAGGTACTGCTTTTCATAGACGATTTCTGTTGCAATCCTTTCTCATCCCTTTCACGTCAGCAAGCTATAGCCTTTTATCATATTTCTTGTCGGTCTCCGTTGAATTGTACGTGGAAGGAAGCACACTGAACGATATCCGAACCAGCCAACCAATCGCGTTCGTTGAAAAAACGGAACACGCACGAGTAGTCAGTGAAGTCATCCGTAGCGCCCTTTCATTCTTTACTAAACCTTGGTCCGCAGTGCCTTCATCTTCACATGAAATGTATCATCGTGCATACCCTTCCATTCGTTCCGTTCCTTCATCTTCCAACCTCTCCGGTATCACAAACACCAGTCCACGCCTAGCCCCGTTGCTCCCTCCCTCAGGCCTTCACGGTCTCTCACCCAAATCAACTGGGTTACTTCTCAACCAGCATCTGAACGCAGCTCTACCAGAAACAGCTCCGAAACATCCAACAATCTGCGGAATGCCTCTGAAATACGTATCGTGAGTTCAATCAAGTGTTCGGCCTACAGATGGCTAACTTTCCCATGTATCAGGCTCATCACCCTTGCCGTTCAAAATGCAACCTTATCCATTGTGATGCACTACTCTCGCGTATCCACGCCCCCGCACCTGTCATATTCTCCTGCAGCAGCAGTACTACTATGCGAAATACTGAAAGGATCCATATCCTTCGTCATTGCAATATGGAGAGCACAGGACATATCAGAATCTCATTGGTCATCCCGGAAATCTTTCACTGGCTTCGTGCAAGCACTCTTTCCATGGTCTGCACCCTTCCGCCAAGTATGCAGTGAGATTTTTAGCCCCGATTGTTGGAAGCTGTCCATACCAGCCGTCCTTTACGTCGTGCAGAACTCGTTACAGTTCGTTGCTATCAGCAATTTGCCCGTGGCGTCCTTTCAGGTGGCATATCAAATGAAGATCCTAACTACTGCGGCGTTCTCAGTCATCCTCCTCCGGAAGACGCTATCTTCGACGAAATGGCTATCCTTGTTTTTTTTGGCGATTGGCGTTGGTATCGTTCAGGTGCAGACGACTGCATCGAATAGCGGAATGCGGGAGATTCGAGTGGGGAGTGCACATGATGCGGCACCTCTACACATCCATATTATGAGCCCACTAAAGGGCTTTGGTGCGGTCACTGCTGCCTGCTTTACATCCGGTCTCGCAGGTGTCTACTTCGAGATGGTACTCAAGAACTCCAAGGCAGACCTGTGGGTGCGCAATGTCCAACTCTCGCTCTTCTCCCTTCTCCCTGCCTTCCTCCCCATCCTCTACGGCCCTGCGCAACCGCCTTCTATGGGTTTCTTGAGTTACCTCTTCCGAAACTTTGGTGGATGGGCGTGGGCCACGGTGGCAGTACAAGTCTTTGGTGGTTTGGTGACCGCTGTCGTGATCAAGTACTCGGACAATATCTTGAAGGGATTTGCGACGTCACTATCTATCATTCTATCCTTCCTCGCCTCCGTCGTGCTCTTCGACTTCCACATCACCCCTTCCTTCATCATCGGGGCTTCCACGGTGCTCGCAGCAACTGCCATGTACAACCAGCCCGCGTCGCCTGAGACAAAGATGACATCCACGATCAGTGGCGGCTCAAAGCCATTTTCAGACGCCCCTTTAGGTCCCGATGATCCCATAATTGGGCAATTCCCATCACAGAAGAGGTCGTCGCCGTTTGGAAGCCCCCGAGCTATCGCCAGTGCTCTGGGCCTTGCAGAAAAGCCCTCGAGTATTGTTGAGAGCGACTACTTCTCTGACATGGAATCCACCTCGCGATACCTCAACGCACCATACGGTTCTCCCTTTCCGTCACGTACGCCCACGCCCAGGCCCGAAGAGCGGCTGTAATTAGCACACCAGGACATAAAAAGAACTCATCAGAACTTTCAACTATTATACGACGTCTTATGATGATTTTTTCTGAATATACCCGTTTCCTAGATCTTTGCAAGTAAGCTCTTTTTATCACAGATATTGCATTGCGCCACTGCACCATGATCTCACAAACAGGCAAATCTGAATCTATTTCATGGTTATCATATCAAATCTTCTCTCTTTCATAGCCCAGTCACATTACGATTCATCTCGCTCATTCCCTGCAGTCTTTTCCGATCGCGCCGCTTCAGAATGTTTTGTGCGTTTTTGCTATTCTGGAGCTCTTGGTGCCGTTCACATCAGATTGCATTTCTACTTTTTTGCCTAGTTTTGCTACCTTTACGCACGAGGACTTGGGGTAACTGATCATGAACTTTGAACTTTTTAGTAGAGTATCGACTTTTGCTAACATGTTCTGTTAGCTGTAATTGGGACTGAATTTACATCTTTTACATCTATTGTTCTGGCTTGCTGAGGTATCAATTGCATAGATAACATCGATAATCAGCGGTGCAGCGCAAGAACCTGCCTGCCTCTGGCGCAGCTTTGAATGACTGTCTCCCGGGTCCCCTCCCTCGCCGGGGATGAATGTAAGCTTTCGTTGAACAAATATCAACTCATAGCGACTCGGTGCATGAAGGGCCTTCTCGGGGCCCACTTCCTCCAAGAGCGCCTTCTTGGCACACG